GTAGTAGTAGTAGTAGTAGTGCGAGTGCGACTAGTCGCAGAAATGCTCGAAACAACAGTGTTGAGCTATGGGTCTTTAAGCTGGCGGTATCTTTTTGGTGTTTCCGCTATCATTTTACAATGTTTCGTAGCGTCGACCTAAGCAAGGGCCTCCTTTAGACTAGTTTAGTGTTCGGAGGCATTTGGGGTTCCCTCGGTCTTTCATTCTATCTACCTACTGTCGATCTACCTACAAATCCAAACCGATTTTTCGATGCGTGAGCAGCATACATGCATATACACCTGCGAGCAGACTTCTGAGAGGGCTTCTGTGCGTGCAAACGCAGATGCATGCATATAACTGTACATACACACATGTATGCGTGCATTCATGCATGCATGCTTGCATGCATGCATGCATGCATGCATGCATGCATGCATACAGACACATGTGCATGGTTGTGAACATCAAGAGGTAGGGCCACCGACCAGAGATTGTTTCGGATGGAGATTGAGGCTCTGTGTTGTGGCTTTGAAGTCAGAACATCGGGTCTGGAAGTCGAGTTTTAAGTTTAGGGAGCCCTAAGCCCTAAAGCTTCAAAGCTGACGCTCTGAGCTCTTATGAACGTCTACTGAACATCATCACTAAAACTGCTTCGCAGGTACTAGCCCTAACCTGTCCGAAGAGGAACAAGGAAGTCACATATATGAGCTCTGAGGCCCGAATATGTGGATCCTTGGACTTTAGACCCTGGACACCAGCAGATCACGATAAACCCTGAACCCTAATGGTGCAACCTGCTTCTGACCCGTTTTCATCCCTCAGACAATCTTGATTGAACTATCAAAGATAAAGACCACATAGGACCCCCAAAACCCAAAGTCCTATAACCTGAACCTAAACCCCTGAAACCCTGAAACCGGAACCCTAAAGTCTTAAACCTTGAACCCCAAAGCCCTAAGACCCTCAACCCCAAGCCCTAAGCCCCGTAAAGCCCTAACCGCTTTGAAAAGCCAGGTGGCCCTTGACCTTCGGCTGCCCCGGCATCAACCAGGTCGATGCGTTGAACGAGGGCCTCTCAGCACTCCGGAAGCCTATGCTTTAGGGATGTTTCGGGTTTGGTTTAGGGTTTACAAGGTTTGGGGTTTTACAAGGCTTAGGGTTTTACAAGGCTTAGGGTTTACAAGGTTTAGCGTTTAGGGTTTGGTTTGGGGTTTCGGGCTGGTCTAAGATATGAGGACCAAAGTAGAAGGCTTTTTAAAGTTTTGTATGAGCTACGAAGAAGGTTCTATTTGGGACAATAATGGTTTAGGTGCTTTGGGCTTGAGCCTGCAGCTTAGGCTTAAACACTTAAGGTGCGGAGTTCGGGGTTTCCGGATGGGTAGTGTCTTCAGGTTTCAAGCGTAAGCCCTAGCCCTAAAAGCCCTACACTCCCAACCATGCAGGATTGGCATTGAGGCTCATGTGCGAGAGTTTCATGCTTAAGGGCTTGTGGGTTCATCCTTTCGGAAATTGCCGGTGTAGGGCGTAAAGTTGACATCCTAAGACCCGAAACCCCAACTCAAAACCCTAAACCTCAAACCCGAAATCAAGACAAGTTTTGGGGTTGCAAAGTCCAAAAGACTGGGGTCAGCATGCAAGCAAGTAGGGTTCTGGGTTCTGGGGGGAGTTGACCGCCCTGTCATCACTTGTAAAGGCAGAACGACCCCACCCTCGAATAGGTGTGGGTTTTTGTGGGCTCCTTTTGGCCCAACACGGTCTACATCCTCCCCCTGCAGAAAAGAAAACGCCCATGTTGGAGAAAATCCTTCCGTGAAGATTGCAGAGCTCCGGCTTCAGCACGTGACACCTACTTCGACCTTTGAGCAGGCACCCTATAAGCCCCAAACCCGAAAACAGGGCTACTATAAGGTTTGTATGCAGGTTCGACAGGGAGCAAATCTGGAATGGCAATCCTACTACCGGCCGACACCCTTCAGAAACGACGCTCTTGCATTCAAGGATACCAGGTATGGTGACAGCCTCAACGATTACACCTGGGTTGGGGCCGAGAGACCAACAATGCTGTCAGTCTAAACAGATATCAGTACATATGAAACACCCTAGCAAGCCTGTAAACACCTGCGCAGGCACAACAAAAAACTGCATAACCCGTATAAGCCGCTGCACCCTAAACCTAAAACCCAAAACCCAAACCCAATAGTCCTAAACCCTAACCCCTGGCACAAGGCCCAGTGATGCCTTTGCTCTGTCTGCAGCAACCCAGGCGGATCGACTCGCCAGGTCCTGTCTTTGGATTTAAGTTTAGGGTTTAGGGTTTTAGGTTTTTTATAGGGGTTGATTTTTTTTTTCAGGGGTCCTAGGGGGTTCCTTCAAGGATTCCTGTGAGGTAAAAGATTCCTTGAAGCCTTTGAAGGCTCAAAGTTCAAGCGTTTAGGGTTGAGTGGTTTCTGTTGGGGTGTATTCAGTGGGTAGAATGGGCTTCGAAGCTCAGAAGTTTGGGACGGGCTTTAAATTAGAAGCCGCATGGATTATAAGTGGGTGTTAGGTCTTAGGATTTGGGTAGATGTAAACTTTGGTGCAGAGGTGTTAGTGCCCAGAATGCCCCGCAAAGCAGCGATCGGAGTGGAGTCACAGAAAGCTTGCGCCAGTGTCTTGAACAAGTGATACAGACGGCTGATTCAGAATCCACCCCATGTCCACCACTGTTGCAGTGCTGGCCCTCAACACTACGGAACTATGGGCCAGAAAATTCACAACTGAACGATCGCTGTAACTTGTCATCCCAAATCAACGAGCATTCAATCTTCCATAACACAAGACCTCCCAAGCTAAGATGCCTGCTCTAAGCCCGAGCTACCGGCCCGTACCTGAAATCTCACCCCTTCAAACCCTGATTGCACATTGAAGTCTAAGTCCCCAAAGCCCTGCAATCCCTAATCACCAAAGCCCCGACACAAAAACGAACACTCTCCTGGAAACCGTGGCTGTGACTGGCGAGAACCGAAGGCACCTTTGGGAGGTCTTCGGCTGAAGGGGTACACCGGGCATATTTAGGATAGGCGTACCAGGGTATGAGTACGTCCGTGTCGGTGCATACATGAATACCTGCGCAAGAGATAGAGGGAGAGAGGGAGAGAGAGAGAGAGAGAAAGCGAGAGAACGAGAGAGAAAGAAAAAAACGGAGTGTCTGAGACTCGACAACCGGAAAGAGCTCTTCGGCTTCGTCTACGATACAAACATGTTGCATACGGATATGACAGGAATGTTCGCGTTGATCATCCTTGCACAATAATCCGAACTTGTCAATGCTGAAATCCCAATGTACCCAAACCTCGACCACTAAACCTTAACGCCCTCCAGCCCCAAATCCTTGGAACCTAAGCCAAAACGCCTGAACTCGGAAGTTACCAAGAGTGCCAAAACATAGATTGATACTAAAGCCCAAGCAACCTCAAACCAAACTTTAAAAGCCCCACACCTGAAACCCTTAATACAGGGGCCTTCGCAATAAGAATCGGGCCTTGGTGCATATTATCCTAAAACTATATTATGAAACGCCCTCAAAATGGTATTCGTAAGCCTTAAATCCTAAACCCTGAGCTCTAAGCCCTTAACCCTAACCCCTAATAAGCACTAGGCATTAAACCCTACCTTAAGAACCCAAAACCCACTTTTTTGTAGGTTCTTATTATAAACCCTAATATGGGATTTATAGGGACCCTACAAAAAAGTAGGTTTTGGGGTTCTGAAGGTAAGCCCTAAACCTTTTGATTTTCGGCTCCACTGGCCGCTGACCTCCAGTGCCGAAGGCCTCTCAGCGGCCAATACTTCCGGGCCTGGCCGTCGGCAAGAAGGGCTTAAAGTATAGGGGTTTAGGGTTTAGGGTATAGGGGTTTAGGGTTTAGGGTTTAGGGTATAGGGGTTTAGGGTTTAGGGTTTTAGGGTATAGGGGCTTAGAGCTTAGAGTTTTCGGGTATAGGGTTTTGGGCTTCAGGGTTTAGGGCTTTAGGGCTTGAGGAGTTAGGGTTTAGGGCTCTAGGGTGTAGGGTTTAGGGCTTCAGGGTTTAGGGTTTAGGGTTTAGGGCTTAGGGTTTAGGGTTTTAGGGTATAGGGGTTTAGGGTTTAGGGTTTTAGGGTATAGGGGTTTAGAGTTTAGGGTTTTCAGGTATAGGGTTTTGGGCTTCAGGGTTTAGGGCTTTAGGGCTTGAGGAGTTAGGGTTTAGGGCTCTAGGGTTTAGCGTTTAGGGCTTCAGGGTTTAGGGTTTAGGGTTTAGGGCTTAGGGTTTAGGGTTTAGGGTTTTAGGGTATAGGGGTTTAGGGTGTAGGGCTTTAGGGTTCAGGGTGAATGGATTAGGCTATAGGGTTTAGGGTATACCTGGACCCCAAAGAACCGACCTTTTTAGGGTTCCTTATTATGATTTCTTTATATGAGCCCTTAAGAACGTAGGCTATTTGGGGTTAAGGTAGGGTTTAGGGCTTAGAGTTTAGGGTTCAGGGTATAGGGCTTTAGAGTTTAAGGTTTAGGGTGAAGGGTTTAGGGCATTCGTTGAGCAGGAAACAGAGCCATGACAAATCCTGCTGTGCTTGTAAACAAATTAAACATGACTAAAGCTCTGGTGGGACCGCTGTCGCCATCATCGACATCATCGTGAACACCACCTGTCAGCACCACAATATTTACCATTACCACCAACATCAACATGATATTCGTCATAATCGGTATCATCATCTTATCCTTCTCCATGGGTAGTTCTCTAAAGCAGGGTCCCTTTGAGGATCCTGTTTATAAGGGTCCAAAGTACTATTTGGGGTCCACAGCCCTGAACCTGCTGAGCTTCTGTGCATCTTCTTGCCGAGTCTCTCAGAGAATTGGTGAGCACCAAAGATTCTTCTAGCTCAGGGCCCAGCCTGGACATCTGAGAGTTGATCTTTAGAGGTTTTACGGTTTAGTTTAGGGTTTGGGGTTAGCGGCGAAGTCTATGTTCAGGGTCCCAGGACAGCTTTCCAGGGTAAGGATCCACCGCTCCCGCTTGTCTTCCCAATCCCCACCCCTCCAACAAAAAAGGGCCGATAATCCCTGCACCCGTAAATCCAAAACCCTCGACCGCGACCCGTTTTCACTCTCAAACTACAATGAGTTTTAGAGTATAGTATAGTGCTTCGGGTTTGATGGTTCGGGTTGGGGGTTGTTGGTAGGCGGTTGTGGGAGGCCCAATACAGGTGTTTGAAATATTTCGCAGAACAGTAGCTTGGACATTGGAGTTGTGTTCCAATTCAGGGGAAACCGCAGATACAGCCCACTCATCAATGCTTGATACCTCAAACAAACCAGAACCAAAGGGCTACAACGCTTTAGACACCATATGAACCAAACTTAGAACAAGCAAGCAATCATGCCAAGATGCAACTCTTATAATTTGAAAACCGTTTACACCCCAACAAACTCCCAGACACTGAACGCCAAACAACCGTCCCGGAGCCTTTCAACTTTATATACTTCCACCGTAATATAGGGACCATATTACTTAGAATAGCGTTTTGGGGTACATTCCACTATAGATAGAAGAAGGAACCCCCAAAACAGAATTGGTAATTATTTAGGCCGCCATATTCCCCTAGAAGAGAAACCCGAAGAACAGCGCAGCGAAATCCTTAAAACACTAAACCCAAAGCCAAACCCGGCTGGGGGATCAACAAAAATCTACAAGGGGTTACCACAACTCAAATCTGGGTTCAACACTACATCAAAATTGGGATCAGCAAAAATTCAATTAAAATATCATATCTCCAGCCCCCCGGCCCTCCGCCGGTCACACTTGAAAGTGCCTCACTGACTCGATCCTGGGACTCTCGAGCAGTGGAATCGTCTCCGTTTGAAGGGTCGCGAGCTCCGCCCGGACCTCTTTCTTCCCTTTATCTCTTTCCGGTGTAGGGTTTCGAGTTCGGGGGTTCAGGGTTTCTCAAGTGTTTAGTGTTAGTTTACGATGCTTCGACTGCATACACTACTCATAAAAGGCTTGCAGAACTTGTACTCGGGAGGGCGGCATACAGTTAACAAAGCACCCGTCGTGACATACCGGCCTGCGAGATTTGAGCGTCATCCATGAGCGTCATCCAAACTGCTGCTAGAAGCCCTGTGATGATACTCTCTGTTCACATAGGAATACTGCACCCATGCTACCATCACATCCAAGCCATGCCCCTCTCTGTCTCATAGATAGAGATAGAGACAGAAATGGAGATAACGATAGAGTAGAGATCGACATCGACATCTAGAGAGCGAGCTTTGCGCCAAGTAGGTCTGGTCTTGTGCAGTCTAGTTCCCATAAACATAGTGTATGTGAGAGCTTCCGGAACAGACGGCCGTATCTTCGAACCCAGAAAAGTGGGATCCGTCCTATAGGTACTATAAGCAGTGTTGTTCTAGAGCTATTCAGGCACCTCTCTTCTATGGCCCTACCAGGATGAAAAGCTGAAGCAACAAAGATCCCATGTTCTGGCTTTACCTGAACCCCCCCAACTACCCGCTGATAATATGCCCAAAATACCCGCTATCAATCATATGGGCTCTACTAAAGAGGTGTTGTGGTGTCCTGTTACGGTTTATGGCTTGAGGCTCTGTCTGGGCTTTCTCGGCCTCGACCAACCCATGGCGCAGCTGACTGAAGGAGAGCTCCAGTTGCTCCTGCGAGCATATGGGTAGTTCTCTAAACTAGTGTCCCTTTTAGGGTCCGTAGCATTTAGTATTTTTGGCGGGCCGAAAGGGTCAAAAGGGACCCTAATTGAGAGAACTATCCATAACTTTTGAGATGCCGGTGTTTGCAAGGGCGCTTCACAAGACTTCCGGGCGATGTTTATAAAACTGTAAGCTATCGGCGATGTGAGACGTTTAGTAGTCCGGGTTTGTAGGATCTTTGGGGATTCAGTTTTGTTAATTCATGTCAATTTAGGGTTAATTCGAGCTTTTGGCTTTAGGGTTCACGCGGGTTTCGGCGCTTGGGTTCATTACCCGCTCGGTTGTGCAGCTTGGGCAGCTTGGCTGCAAAGACCAGAGTCGGAAACTTAGCCACTCAGTCAGACAAAGGTCCCGGAGTCCTCGCAGACCTGAGCTTAAAATACCTAAACCGTAATACTTGAGCCATGAGCACTGCATTAATTGGATTCGGACGAAACGCGGCCGGGCGTCTAGATGACTTAGCGCCAACTCCGAAACACGCGGCCACATGCAAAGTTTCGGAAAGGCCTGCACCCCCGAAAAGAACCAAACCCCTAAAAACCCTGACCCCTATAAACCCCCAACCATGAGCTCTACACCCTCAACCTGCAACCCTAAACCCTAAACCAATTCAAAACCCTCTGGAAAGCTGACGGCCTGAATACTCTGAAAGGCGCCTCAAAAGACAGCAGGCTTCGCAATGGCGTGCGCTCTGCACAACCCGTGCATTGCATCCTCAGTTCGTCTTCAGCCCGGAACCCTGACCCTAAGGCCTCAGTTTGGTTCGGCCCTATCGGGCTTTACAGGGTTTGTTGGGTGCATTTCTCGCTTTTCGGGTTTAGGTTCAGGGTGTAGGCCTGTTGGGCTCTAAGGCGGTCGAAGCTTTAACTACGTCGGCTTTTCGGGCTCAGGGTTGTAGGCTATAGGGCCAGGCCCTGTTGGCTTGAAGCTTGTAGGGTTTAGGGTGTGGGGCCTAGGCAACTCATGCGCATGTACCCCCCTGTAGGAGGACAAACGTACAACCACGAATATCCTAATCTCAACGCGCCGACAAGGAGCATTGCTAGAAAGCCCTACAGCACTCAAAAAGCAAAGGCAAACTGAACCACAGGAAGTAAACTAAACGCTAAACCTAAAGGAAAACAAACAAACGAGAAAGCACCAACAGCGAGCCTATCTCACCGACAGACGGCTAGGAAGGAAGCGTCAACGTCATGCTAGAGCCAAAGGAGGAGGGAAACATCGCACAAAAACCGGCATGACAAAAGTTAGAACGACAACGTACGATTCCTTTCTGGCAGAAAGTGGAATGCGAAAGCACAACAGAAACCACCACAAACAGAAGTAATCAGAAACCACCGACCCAAACCAGTGAACGTGAACACGTCCATAAGAAAAGGACATGATGAGTCACAGAAACGAATGCGAGCTACCTGGTTGACCTCAACACGAGCAAACGATAGCAATGCACAACCAAAAAACAAGCGACAAACAAAATATAACTAAACACCGCAGAACTTCCTAAATCCGGATCTCGCCACCAGGAGGGTGTGGGCAAGGCAGGGCCAGGCATGGCTCTTCTGGACGTGGCCCAAATCGAGGAATCTAAGATGTCTAGGGTTTAGGGTGTATTAGATTGGGTTCTCAAGGATGTTGTGAATGTCAAGGCTTGTCATCTGAGGTCTGACAGAGCTTCGGCTTTAGTATCATGGGGGTGAGTTCAGGCTCGGGAGGATTCGGGGGCTCAGGCAGTATGGCAAAGCATTAGCGGCTCTGCATGCACAAGTGCAAAGACGTATCTGTTTACCGATGTGTACGTAAATAACTGAAAAGTATCTTCTATTGTTTGTATATATATATATATATACGTATGTACATTGCGCGGATATACGTATACATGCATACTCACTGGGTTTGTGGATGTACCTAAAATGCCCCCTGGGGCCGAAATCCTTGACCGGACGTCCGGAAGCTTGTTCGGACTACTCGGATGCACCAGTTCCCGGCGTCTTCCTCGTTCTGGGTTTAGGGTTTATAGGGTTTAGGATTTGGGGCTTAGGGCTTCAGATTTAATGTAGGGCTTAGGGTTTAGAGCAGCCTGAACCCTTGCACCCGAGACTTACATCGGCGGTTGTCAATGCTAGGGTCTCTTCTGGGTTCCCAAGCTACAGTGCCGGATTCAGACTAGAACTAGATCTGGTTCCCCAACAAGGCCAAGATTTTGACAGTTAGCATACGGCAGCCACCAGCCGCTCTGATTCTTCGGATACTTTCCTTTAGGGTTTAGGAGTGAAAGGCTTGGAGGTTTGCAGTCGCTTGGGGATCCTACGAATTCGGGTGGAACATTTCCGACACATGCAAGAACGCTTTCAGCCAACCGGCGTAGCCGCGCCCACAGGTCCTGCAGGCCCTCAGCACAAAACTCGAAGACCAAAGAACCAATCAAAATCAAATGCATAGCTTAGGGTTTATTTGCAGCGCAGGCTTTGACTCTAGGATATGCGCCTAGTCTCGTCCTCAACCCCACCAAGCTGCGTCAGCATTCGACAGCCAATAATCGAACAGGAAACCGTTCATCCTAATCATGGTCACTAGGACATGCTAACTAGTCCGAACCCAACATACCTTAAACCCCAAACCCTATGCCGTAAACCCTAACCCCTACATACCCTGAACCTTCAACCCTAAGCCCTATAGACCCTAAAGACCCACAGAAACCATAAAAGCCCTACGCATCGCTTCACTCCCGGAAAGGGCTCCTGAGACCGCCCTTCTCCTTGACTCCTTGCCGCAGGTTCCTGACAGAGGGTTCAGGGCTCAGGGCCTACAGTTTAAGGGTTTAGGGTTTAGGGATTTAGGGTTTATGGTTTAGGGATTTTTAGGGTTTAGGGAACTTCGTCTGGGGCTTTAGGGTTTTAGGGTTTAGGAAAACGTTCCGACAACTTCATTGAAGGCTTTCGGGTGTATAAAGTTTAAGGGTCCAGAGAAAAGTCCAGAGAACTTCGTTTCGGGAAAAGTCCAGAGTAGAACGGAAAACCTAAATCCTTCAAAGGGCTTAGGGTTTATAATATAGGGTAGAATATTCACAAAAATATTACACTACTCTGACTATACCTACGGCTACCTGGGAATACTGGAACAGTATCATACTGCTTAGCTATTCAGAGCTCCATCGGCTCTGGGGGGAAGGTTAAGGTGTCAAAAGATAACTTTTCAGGGTGCCGCGACACCTGAGATGCTAAACCCCGAACGCCCTAAGCTGTTAACGGCGAGGTCTGGGATGATGGGAAGAACAGCAGGACTTCGACAACCCCAAACCCTAAACCCTTGGCCGTCAACCCGAAACTCAAAACCTTTGGCCCTAAACCCTAAACCGACAACAAAGAGGCAATTGTGAGTGGGAGATGGCCGACTTGGGGCTTCCGGTTTTCATGACGGCGACCACCACTTCCAGCATCAGCATTGTCAGCAAGAGCAGTCAGTGTTGTTGTTAACCCTGAACCTCAAGCCCTGAAGCCCTAAACCCTAAACAAGTAACCCCAAAACAACGCAGATGATGAAGGAGTTTTCCGTGGACTCCATCAGTTTAGAGGCGTCTCAGCATGAGTACCCAAAGGCTTCCTCTTCGACTCGTTGACGCACCCTGTCTCAAGAGAAACCATTGGTACCCCTGAATCTCGCAGGTCCCGCATGAAAATCCATCTCCTATATGATTCCCGACGATAGCTACTAAGGGTACAATAAAAGGTAGATGGAGGATCTAGGCGCCTAGGCACGTTTTGATCACATGTTCAACTGCGCGGAAATCGAGGCCGCTGCGCTGGGAGGAGCGCTCCGAGGTCAGAAAGCAGCAGGGAACGGCGAGGGCGGCTGAGCAAAGAGCATGGGTGAAATGTGGACTATTCGGGTTCAGGCTTGTAAGGACTCTGTAGGGCTCTAGGGTCCAGGGAGTAGGACTTCGGGCAATTACTAGTCTATATGGTGGTGAAAATGGAAAGTTCATACACATACCTCATAGTCTGCAATACCGAGCCTGCCGCGGTGTATCCCGAAACCTTTAACATCTCTCTGGCTTCAGTCTGTTCTCAGATTGTGGGAACTCAGGCTTAGTTTACGGTTTAGGCTTAGCTTTTATCTTACTCCTCAAACACGCGTGGCACCATGGATTCGAGACACACACACAAACCTAAACACCCAATGACATGAACCCAAAGCCTCAGCTCAAATCCCCAAACCCGAAGCTTTCAACCGCACCTTCCCATACCTCACCATAAACACCCCGAAGCCCCAAACACCTGTCAAACCCAAAGCTCTACGGATCCCCATGCAATAACATAGACGTCTCCACAACTATGTTTTGTTCTACTCCATGGCCTTCTATTCAAACTAATTAGAATAGGGTTTTGGGGTCTCTATAGTATAAACATAATAAGGAACCCTAAGGCATAATGTAGGCAACTACAGTATAGTATGCCCTCCCTCCGAAAAAACTTTTCTAAGCAACGCCCCGAAAAATCCTCGCCGTTGTAAAACCCGCTTCAGAAACCCACTTCTGCTTCTCCAAGCCCCGAAATTACCGTAGGGGCCACAATAATTTGAACAGGGTTTTGGGGTATATCATATTATAATTATGATACGCAGCCCTCAAAAGAGTGTAGGAAATCATTAAGGCCCCTATACTATCGAAGATGCTGGGCAGCAGGCGTGCCCAGGAGCAGCACCAACTGGGACAACAGAGCTGGCCTCAGACGACCAGGGCTTTAGAGAAAAGGGTGCAAAGGTTGAGGGTTTCAGGGTTTAGGGTTTAAGGGTTCAGGGCTTTGGGTTTCAGGATTCAAGTTTAGAGTTTTTGTTAGGGTTGGGAAAGCCTCCATCCCTGGCTGCAGGCGTAATCTCGTGTCCTTGAAATGTGTCCTCCCAACATCCACCAAACCCTAAAACGGTTTAGGGCTGGTGGCCTAAAGCCTGAGCAATGAGCAAAGGTATTCTTATCGATTCCGTATTATCATCGTACCATGATATACTGCAAAACAACCCCATACTCTTCATCAAGGCCCCTATACTACCAGCAGCCATGAAGACCCGATTTACGTGTAGAGAAAGATCTTAGGCTCAGGCCCAGCGATCGGAGGCCGTCAGTTCATAGATTTAGAGAGGATGTTCTGTGGCAACCCAGACCCCTGGGAGGATCCCAAAAGTAGATCCCTTAAAAGAGGATTCCCATAACCAGGAGTAGATCCCTTGTCAAGGGGGTTCCGATGAAGTACCTTCTAGTAGCATAGGATCCCACAGTAGGGGATCTACTCTTTCCCTGGCACCCTAACCCTGGAGCCGAACTCGAAGGGCACCCCTAACATACGTAGGGTTCCCTTTTCAATGTCCGAAAAATAGTACGGCACCTTTATATAAAGGATCCCAAAAGGGAGTCCAATTTAGAGAACTACCCATATGGCTGGCGGTCCAAATTAGGGCCTCTCAGAGGTGCCAAACTATCGAGTGCCGTATTCAGACTGGAGTTTTGTAGGGTTTGCCCAAAGGACCATGATTTTGATTGTTGCATGTCAGCTACCATCTGACCGTGACACCTGGCTATTTCCGCCAGACTCAGGTTAAGGTCTAGCGTCAAGCCTCACCGACTGAGTCAAGATTCAAGGCAAAGTATGACATTAGGGCCGGCACAGGAAGTGAGGCACACCCACACATCTAACCCTGCGCGAATCCCCCCCATGTCATGA